CATTATTTCTGTCACTAAGGCCAAATTTTCTAACTACTAGTGATTCTTCTTTGTTTCCAACTTTTGCATTCCAGTCACCAGTGATAATCAGCACATCTTGATTGCATGTTCAGTCAATTTCAGACTGCAGAAGTTAAGAAAAATCTTCAATTTCCTCATCTTTGATTTTGGTGGTTGGTGTGTAAATTTGAATTATAGTAGTATTAACTTGTCTTCCTTGTAGGCATATGGATATTATTCTGTCATTGACAGCATTGTACTTCAGGAAAGATCTTGAAACATCCTTTGTGATGATGAATGCCACACCATTCCTCCTCAAATTGTCATTCCTGGTATAGTAGATTATATGGTTGTCTGTTTCAAAATGGCCAAAACTGTTCCATTTCAGCTTACTAATGCCTGGATATCAATCTGTTTTTGTTCCATTCCATTTTTGACAACTTCCAATTTGCCTAGATTCATACTTTGACATTCCATCTTCCAATTATTAATGGATGTTTGCAACTGTTTCTCCTCAATTTGAGTTGTGCCACATCAGCAATTGGAGGTCTTGAAAGCTTTACTTTATCCATATCACTATGGTTAGTTCTACTCTGATGAGGCAGCTCTTTCCCAGTCCTGTTTTATGTGCCTTCTTACCTAAGGGGCTTGTCTTCCTGCACTGTGTTGGACAGTGTTTTCAAACTATTCATAAAGTTTCCCGGTAATGTATTAGACAGTGTTTCTCTGTTATTCATAAGTTTTTCCCTGGCCAATTTTTTTGGATGGGCTCTTCCTTCCTCCTACTCTGTCTCAGTCTGTAAGAGGCATTGAAACCTGTGCACCATGTGCAACCCTGCTGGCATTTGAAACACTGGTGGCACAGCCTCAAGCCTCCTAGCAATTTTCAAGTCCCACAGGATGACAAACTGACAGACAAGTTTGTCTCCCTTTGCTGTTGGAAACCTCTCTGCCCTCCACTTACCTAATGCCTACCTGGAATTCTGCCGTTTTGTGGTCCCCAGCCACTCACTTCCTCTCCTGGGTCTAGGGGCCTGGAACCTGCCTGCCTTCTGCCTGTTACCTGGATCCTGTATTAGTTTAGGTAAGTAATATGTTTCTAGATATCTGTCCATTTTCTATGGTTTTAAATTTGTTGGAGTACAGTTCTTCATAGTATTGTGATATTATCCTTTTTACTTTAGTTGGTTCTGTTGTGATATCACCCAATTTGTTTCTTATTTTTGTTATTTGTATTCTTTCCCTCTTTTCCTTCATTAAGTTTGCCAGTAGTCTGTCAATTTTATTTCTAAAAACAAACTTTAGTTTTGTTGATTTTTTTCTATTGTCTTTCTATTTTCTGTTTCAATCTTTATTGTTTCTTTTCTTCTGATGACTGTAGGTTTCTTTTGCTGCTCTTTGTCTTATTTTTGGAGATGTTGTGTTAAGGTGATGAGTTTGGTTCTTTCTTCTTTTGTGATTTGTGCACTTATTGCTATAAATTGGCCTCTAATCACTGTTTTTGCCTTGTCCCAAAGATTTTGGTATGTTGTGTTTTCATTCTTGTTTGATTCAAAGAAATTTTTTATTTAATTTTTATTTCTTCTATTGCCAAGCAGTTTTTAAGAAGGGCATTACTCAGTTTCTATATGTTTGCTCTTTTACCATTGATCTTCCTATTGTTGATTTCTAATTTGATAGCATTGTGGTCTGAGAAGATGTTTTGCAATATTTTCAATGTTTTTAAATTTATTAAGGCTTTCTTTGTGGTCTAGCATATGGGATATCCTGGAGAATGTTCCATGTGCACTGTAAAAGAATGTATATTGTGCTGTTGTTAGGTGAAGTGCTCTGTAGATGTCTATAAGTTCAAGTTTGTGGATTGTATTGTTTAGTTCTGAGTCTTTGCTGAGTTTCTTTCTGGTTGTTCTATCTTTCATTGAAAGTGATATATTAAAGTCTCCTACTATTACTGTGGAGTTATTTGTCTTTTCAATTCTGTTAAATTTAGATTTATGTATTTTGGAGCTCTTTAATTGGGTACATAGATATTATGGTTATGCTCTCTTGTTCAATTGATCTTTTAATCATTATATGATATCCTTCCTTGTCTCTTATGGTGGTTTTTGTCTTAAATTCAGTTTTATCAGAAATTGCCATTGCCACTCCTCTTTTTGTTTGCCATTTGCTTAATACATCTTTCTCAACCTTTGATTTTTAGTCTATTTTTGTCTTTGTGTCTAAGTTGAGTCTCTTATAGACAGCATATTGATGGGTTGTGTTTTCTTATTCAGTCTGTAACTCTCCATCTCATGAGTGGTCCATTTAATCTATTTACATTCAATGTCATATCAACAACTATGAATTTATTGCTGTCATTTTGTTATGTGTTTTTTCATGGTGTTGCTCATTTCTTTGTTCCATATAATTTTCTGTATGGAGCTTGTTTTTTTTTTTTTATGAATCTTGTTAACACTTTCTTCATTGCTATTGTTTTAGTATTTGCTAAATATTTGTGCTGGTCCTCTTTTATAATTTTGATGTGAAGATTTATTATTTTTCTTTGTTGTTACCCTGTGATTTATAATTTTCTTTCCAAGTTTAGAACAGTCCAGTCCATCTTGCAGTTGTCTTGACTTCCTCACCATTTAAAAGTTCTGTAACTAAATTTTTACCCTTTTTTTTTTTTTTTGTAGTTGTCCTCATTTGCCAATTGATGTCTCTGGTTTCCTACTTATGGTCTTGTAAGCTTATTTTACTTGGATACTTTCATAACTGTGTTGGTTTCTGGGTTATGTCTTTGTGTGTGTTAATGGTTGGTTGTTGTTTGCTGTTGTTGAGCCTATCCAAAGGAGTCACTTTAGCATTTCTTGTAAGGTTGGTCAGGTTTTAACCAATTCCTTTAATTTCTGCTTCTCTTAAAACATCCTAATTTCACCACTATATTTGAGGGACAATTTTGCTGGGTATATATTTTTTGCGTGAAATTTATTTTTTTCTTTCAGGATTTTATATATACCATCCTATTGCCTTCTCACCTGCATGGTTTCTGCCAATAAATCAGAGCTTAGTCTTATTGGTTGCCCTTTGTCAGTAGCGTCTCATTTTTCCCATATTGCTTTCAGTATTTTTTCTTTGTCTTTGGTTTTGGTGAGTTTAGTGATGATTGATATGTCTTGTTGATTTTCTTTTGGAAAATCCCGTTGGACTTCCTGAATGGATAAATTCTCATCTTTAATCCTATCAGGGACTCCTCTTCCAACAAGTATTCAACAATTTTCTTAGTAGTTTTATTTGTCTATTCCTGTTCTTGAATTCTGATTACTCATAGGTTATCCCTCTTGATGGTATCCCACATAAATCTTAGACTTTCTTCATTTTGGTTTGATCTTTTTTCTGATTGATCTCTTAGCAAAGTAGTGTATTGAGGTATTTGTCTTCAATCTTACTAATTCTGCCTTACATTGATTTGATTTTACTCCTTTGCTTATTCAATGTGTTATCTATTTCTGAACTTTTTAATTAATCTTTTGGATTTCTATCTGTAGATTTAGAATCTTTTCTAATTTTTCATTTATTCATTTATTTTTCTTGTATTGTCTTCCCAAATTTTTCTAGCATTTTGTCTGTGTTTTCATTAACATTGTCATTGTTTTCCCTGATCTGACCCTCAATCCATTGAAGGTACTTAAATATAATTAATTTGAATTCCTGATCATGGAGTTCCAATGCTGCTTCTTTCTTAGGGATTTTTTTCTGGATTTTTATCCTGGTTCCTTGTTTCTACTACTTCATCTTGCTTCTTTATGTGGACTTTGATGATCCTTTGTCTCTGAGGTATTGTAACACTGTTGTATTTATATTTAACTGATGATTGTATGCTGATGTGACTTGCCCAAGATACATATTTTTTTCTTTGTTTTGATATATCTGAGTAAGCAGGGTTCTGTGCTCCTTTATTTGCTTGTTGGCAGCACTTTTGTGGTAACCACCTGTCTCCTGGAAGGTGGGATAGAGAATGAGTGGCTCCACCAATCTCTGTTAGCTGTTTATGAAGAGCAATTAAGGGTGAATCAGGCTCATATTGGCTGTCATGTATCATTGGCCAGTTCATGCAGAAGCATGTGGTGGCTCTCACTCAGTAGGTGGGGCTGTAGGAGGTGGGGGCATGGTTGGGTCATATGTAAAGCTTTGCTATCTGCCACTCATTTAGACAAAAATCACAATTTGGGTCTCACAGCCTCAGGCCTCACAGCAACATGTCACCAGAGCATGACAAACTGACAGACAAGTTTGTCTCCCTTAGCTGTTTGAAACCTCTCCACCCTCCCCTTACCAGGATCCCTGCTGCTTGTTCACTCTGTCCTGGATGTCCTGGATGTCCTGGCTTTCTTTCTTTTCCCCTCTGCTTTTCCTGCCACATGGGAGTTGGGGCTTGGGTCATTTCCCTTACCTGGATCCCTCTGCCACTTGCTCGCTCTGTCCTGGATGCCCCGGCTTACCTTTCCTTTCCCCTCTGCTTTTCCTGCCACTTGGGGGTTGGGGCCTAGGTCCCTCCCATTACCTGGATCCCTCTGCCACTTGCTCCCTTTGTCCTGGCTGCTCTGCTATAATTCGAAGATGACTCGATGGCACCTAACAACAAAACATATATTCAATGAAGGAGTTCTGGTAGCACAGTGCCTAAGACATCTGACTGCTAGCCAGCAGGATGGTGGTTTAAACCCACCAGCCACTCCAAGGAAGCAAGACTGAGTGATCTGCGTCTATAAAGATACTTCCATGGAAATGCAATGGGGGTCACTATGAGTTGGAATGAACTTGACAGCAGTGTTTTTTTTTTTTTTTTTTAACATATAATCAATGTCTCATCTAGTATTGCAAATATTGTAGTACTATGATATTTATTGTTAGTACATTAATTAATACCTTTCATGGCAGTACAGAATAAAATACATTTAATTAGATGACAAATCTAGATGGTATGTCACTTAACTTATTTTTACTGATTTTCTTTTTAGGTTTGCAAGGGTATGCAATGTGTTTCTTCCTCATACCTGAATTATGACTGTACTCCAGAAAAATGCCACAATCAGGGTGTAAGTACCAATACTATTAGGTAAGAATAGAAATAATTGAAAGTGATTCCTGGAAAGAAATCACACAGCTACACACACTCACACACACATACAACCAATCACACACACACACACACACACACACAAGCACATACTCCTTATGTGACCTTGGTATTATTTTATAATTCTACCTGAATATATACAATTGTAGTTTCTTCTCTTATAAGGTATTATTTCTCCTGGTTTCAGGTATGCAATAATAAAAAACACTGTCATTGTAATCCTACATATTTACCTCCAAGCTGTGAAAATGTAGATGAAACATGGAGAGGTGGGAGTATTGACAGTGGAAATTATCCACCTTCACCAGGCACGAGTGCTGGTAAGTATTAATAACAAATTGCAAATATACTTAAAATGTAATTTTTAATTTGTTAAATTTAATAAATTATATGTTGTCAGCCATTTTTTATTTAGATTCTGTTTCACATAAAATAAACCATGTATGGACATTCAATTTATGTTTCATTTCCAGAGAGTAGCATATGTTATAATATATGTTCTATGTAAGATATATGAGTCAGGACCCAAGCAGGAAAACAAAAATATTGTTGGGCCATCAAGGCATTAAGTAACATATAAAGGGAGAGATGAAATGCCAATCAGAGAATCGTGAGGCACTCTAAAGGTTACCACCTCAGGAATCCACTACAATTTATTAGGATTTAAAAGACAATATAAAGAAGCAGTATTACTCAGGTAGAATCTAAGTCATCTAACATGACATATGATTATGGTCAGAGCTGCACAGTGGAATCTGGACCACAGGAGAGTTCTATCCAGCATGAGTTAAAGGTATAGAGGGCACACACTCTGTTGAAGATGGTTTAGAGAAAAGGGGAGGAATACCCTGGTTAATTCACTCTTCTTCCAAATTTAATTCAGAGGTTCCTGTTTGCTAAACCTATATAGAAGACAGACACCCAGGGAACTTGGGGAAAGAAGTTGCCTGTAGTATTGATCAAGGTAAAGCAAAGCCTAAAATGGATTATAGAGCAAGCCAGTATACCCATTAATGCTTAGCTCAGGATGATTCCATATATAAAAAACATACTCTAAATTTACAGATAATTCATGCTTATTTTTCCAGATCTTAAGCCAGAGGTGGCTCTTAATATTGCCACATTTATCCCAGTATTGAGAAGTATGATGAAAACAAATAAATAAATAGCTCACTGGCATCTAGTCTATTCCAACTCACAGCGACCCCCCTTTGGGTTTCTTAGGTGGTAACTTTTTATGGAAGTAGATTGCCCAGTCTTCCTTCCATGGAGTGGCTGGTGGGTTTGAACTGGCAAACTTCTGGTTAGCAGTCAAATGCCTTAGGCACTACACCACCATAGAAAGCCACATAAAAGCAGGTAGAATCTCTGGGTGGCACGAAAATTAGCATGCTTGGCTACTAAACAAAAGTTTAAACAAATGTGCTTCAGAAGAAAGACCTGACAATCCAATCCTCCCCCCTCACCCCCAAAGAAATCCATTAGAAAATCTATGGACCACAGTACTACTTCAACAAACATTTTGTCACCATCAGTCAGAGTCAACAATGGCTCTAATTTTTATCATAAGTTTAAAAAGGTATATATAAGTTA